CGTTGAATGCCTTCAGCTTGTTATCGGATAAGTGTAACCGGATTAAGCCATTCAGCTGAAATCAAACTTATATTTCCGAGTCAGTGCTAGCTGAGTGAAAAACAGAGGAGACCATTTGCAAAAGCAGCAGAACTCATCGAAACTGCGAAAGCGAAGAAAAGTACCACAAAAGATCACTCCAATAAAAAATTTCCTCAGCAGGAATATTTGGAAAATAAATAATGTCTATTGTTACACTTTACTTTAAGAAAAGAGACGCCCCGCCCTCCTTCGTTTTTGTGAGGGAGATAGGCACCCAGTGGCAAATGAGTTAACAGCAATAATATACTGGCAAGGTTGTCGATAGTTTCTTTCATTGAGGATTGTTTAAAAACAAGCTGATGACAATTTAGACTCCATAGCACATGCCAGTACCAATTTACCATCGAAATGAATGAACGAATCGTAGAGAGAGTGGCTATCACGAGAATAGTGGTGGTTAATAAAGACACTGGTGATGATATATATGAAATATTTGAAAAGGAAATACCTGTATTGTACATATTGGAAAATAAATTTTGGTGTATTCATATCTATTCAGTAACAGTTCCGGCACTTTTCACTTTTTTTTACTGTGATAAAATACTTGACTAACGAGTTAACACAACTTTTTTGTTTTCGTATTCACATTTCTGAGTGGTCATTCACACTCATTTTTTTCATAATTTACGTCAACATTTTATAAATTGTTACAAAATTACCTTGCAAAATGTATCGGGCCATACATCGGTGAGCGAATTACCGCGCACAATTAGCTCCTGCAAATCGTTGAATTCGTTTGCCGATCTGGCGAACGTGTTAGCGAGTAGGCGAGGGCGCTCCTGCAGTGGAACTGAAGGCGAGAAGAAATTCGATACATCCAGCACTCGCAAACGAACGTTCCATCTGCAAACAGCCAGGGTCTAGTAGCACAGTGAAATAGAAACAAAAAGCATCGGGCAAGAAAAACTTGGTGAAACTGACTAAGCACAAAGCAAGAAAGAAAGCAAGCACTAAGGGTGTTTCGCAAAAGTGTTTTAAGTATCGAAATCAAATTAACTTCGAATTCTATTTTCGTTACTGATTAATTAAATCTGCGTTACTTATGGCAGACTAGGCTTCTTTCAGAAACAAGAAGAATGCTGGTTTCCATATCCTCTTGAGAGTTGGATAGCATAAGAAAAGCAAGGCTGTCTAGACAATTTGTTTAGAGATCACATGTGAAGAAAAAGATGAAAAAATAAGGACGAAGTAGTCAAAAACCTAATCCATGAAGACGCCGGGAATGTAAAGCTCCGCTAATTGGTTCTTTCACCGACGCTAAGGAATATGTACTGAAAAGGACGAGCACATCTGGCAAAAAATTGAACAAATATGAAATTATATTCAGAAATCAGTGAAAAACGACAGAGAGAAGACAAATTCTCCTCCCATCCTCCTCTCAACACTCTCAATCAAAAAGTAAGAGACAAGGATGTTATCATTCAATCGAAAATCATGAGGTTAACAGTATGCGAGCGGTTTACTCAACCAAAAATTGTTCGAAATTTAAACCCCTCAGCAATATGAGTTTTGCATTGCATAGATGCAAAAAAGTGAAGATCAATTATAATCCGAAATACAATTTAACATTTTAAAAACTGAGTTGCCATCACACCGACTGCCAGTGCGAAAATGCGTCTTCTGCATTGTTTTCCGCAAAATTGTTGTTGCTGATACGATCCGTTGCAAAGAAAGTAATTTTTGCTAAATAATTCACCATTTAAAACTGAGCACAACCAATGGTCCTAGATGCTTGGTTTTCGTGAGCACTAACTGGAAATATGCAACCTAGGACCGAAAGGCCTGGCTGTGCCCGGTGTCTGGGAGCATCCCAGTAAAATCACTTACATAAAATACCCATACTAGTAGTCTGGGTGGTCTTGGAGTATTTTTTTTGCCGAATCTTTAGAAATAAGCTAAAAATTCCCCCCAATTTACAATATACATGCGCTTAACATCTTTATTATTTATCAAAATCACTTATATTATAATATTCTTACATTTGACATCTTTGTTACTTGCCAAAACCGTATTAGCGAGGTCCGGTTATTGGTACTAATT